AAAAAAACCCAGCATGCCTCTCTTGCCCCATGCACCTTACTTACCTGACCTCCTCTGTGTGACTTCTTTTTGTTTCCACAAACAAAGAGAGACATGAAAAGACAGTGATTTGATGAAGTAGAAGAGGTGAAGAAAAAAATGAGGGAGGTGCTGTCAGCCATCCAAACAGATGAGTTTGAAAAATGTTTCCAAAAATGGAATCACAGATTTGACAGATGTATTAAGTGTAATGGAGAGTTCTTTGAAGGTGATACGGTTGTTTTGTAAGAAAGGGGGGGGTGTTAACTATATAGCTTTGAAAATAACTTCTGGGGGAGAGCTGAGCATGGGAGTGGAGTCCAGCTCGTAAGCCGTCCACCTGGCCGCCTCTCCACTCCTCACCTCACCCTTGCCGCCTGCCCTCACTCCAGCCGGCCGGCAGCCCAGGACACCTTCCACCATGGCCACCTCAACAAGTTCCCACTTCAATAAAGGCGTCAAGCAGATGTACATGGCTCTGCCTCAGGGCAACAAAGTCCAAGCCATGTATATCTGGATCGATGGCACTGGAGAAGGGCTCCCCTGCAAAACCCGAACCCTGGACTGGGAGCCCAAGTGTGTGGACGAGTTGCCCGAGTGGAATTTTGGTGGCTCCAGCACGTTCCAGTCTGAAGGTTCCAACAGTGACATGCATCTCGTCCCTGTTGCCATGTTCTGGGACCTGTTCCTCAGGGACGCCAACAAGCTGGTGTTCTGTGAAGTCTTTAAGGACAACCGAAAGCCTGCAGAGACCAACTTAAGGCACACCTGTAAATGGATTATGGACATGGTGACCAGCCAACACCCCTGGTTTGGAATGGAGCAGGAGTACACCCTCATGGGGACAGATGGGCACCCCTTTGGTTGGCCTTCCAATGGCTTTCCTGGACCCCAAGGTCTGGATTATTGCGGTGTGGGGGCAGACAAAGCCTACGGCAGGGACATTGTGGAGGCTCACTACCGGGCGTGCTTGTAAGCTGGCATCAGGATTGGCGGGACGAATGCCGAGGTCATGCCTGCCCAGTG